TACACATCTAGATGTGTATAAGAGACAGCATCTTCCCCTCGGGGTTCCTTCCTCTTCTTCCTTTCAGAGAGAGAGAGAGAGAGAGAGAGAGAGAGAGAGAGAGAGAGAGAGAGAGAGAGAGAGAGAGAGTTGACATCGAGACTTGGTGACATTCGGGCATTGTCCAGTTCAGTGACATTACGACTTGACATGGCATGAGCAGCAACATTGGGGATACATTGGAGACTGGGCTACGGTGACTGATCCTCCCTATCTCCCTCTTCCCCTTTTGTCTCCTCTCCCTCTTTCTGAGTGATGATGTGTGCTGTCAGGTCCTGTCATTGTCCATGCTGAGTCAGATCTAGGTATTACAGTCTTCCGCTGTGCTATTTTTGTATTGTCTCTGAGAGGTCGGTTCTCGGTTCTGATCGATGCCGATTAGGCATGCGACATGATGCTAATGGAGTCATTAAAGGTTTGGGGCTTTGGAACCATGAAATCAAGGGTTATCCCCTCACTCTTTTATTTAAAAAGAAAATAACAGGCTACAAAAAAAATCTAAATTTCAGGACATTTTGACAATAACAGGAAAACAGTGAAAGTGTGCAGTTCTTTCCTTAAAAAAAGAGCAAAGAAAAAAGACCTAGATTTTGAGGATGATCGCACCGTTCCTGGAGTCGAGGCGCTGCAATGAATTTCTTTTAAAAAAAAAAAAAAAAAAAAAGAGACCCAAAAAGGAAAAGGGAAAAGACTTCAAAAGAGGCAATGAAAATGAGCCTTTAGAACCCACATACACACCTGGCTTATGGTTGTTGGGGCTGGAGTAGTCAGCGCGCTTGTAGAGATGGGCTTAAGAAATTTATTGATAACTGAAGGAGGGCTTGGCTGCATCTCCTCCTTAATTGCCAGGGTTTCGTCCACAATCCTCTGAATCTCGCTTGCTGACATTCTTTCCTTGATATGTCTAAGTCGGTCCTTCTCCTCCTGAAATTGCCGCTCCAAACCCCCATAATCAGGCTGACAACAAAGCAAGAGAACGTCAACAACTCATTCTGGCAGGGGTTTAGGTCGTCAAGATCGCTATGTAAGCACAAAGTCGCCATTAGAAACCAATGCTATGATCAAATTGTCATGGCAAATGCACAAAGTTGAGACAATCAGCAACCAACGGGTATCCACCATTCACGACAACCGATACACAACCCAAAGAGAGACGAGCCAGCAGCTCTTTCCATTATCATGCACACAAGAGATTCCATTATCATGCACACAACAGAGAGAGAGGCAAGAAGAACACAAAAGTGCCGTAAGGAATCAAATGGTTACACACAGTGAGACTCCGATAATTATACGTTACTAACCACCGCTGGAGTGGATGGAAGGTACACAGCAGATGGACAAGGAGAAAGAGAGGCAAGCATGCGAGAAGAGGAAAAACAAAGAATTATACGAAGCATGGTGTTTCCTTTTCTCTTAAAAAGAGAGAGACAGACTCGTGTCAGACTATCATTGTCATGGGGATTGGTGTTGATCATAGCCTAACAAGATAATTTTGCAAGTGACCCGAACACTAGCGTGTATGAGTTCTGTAGTGTTTGTCACGAGGCTGACAAGGGAAAACCAACGCTGATCAGGCTTCTCTTGTTTTTTTTTTGGAAATGTACTGTGGGGCCCAACTACTGGAGGTGATTTCCTTTTGGACAGCTCCATTCTATTGGTGGGAGCGACACCAGCTGGGAACCTTGCTGATCAGGTTCGGAGTGGCAAAGACAGGCTGGTTGAAGGACAGGGCAGGAATTGAACCCCAACTACAGCACCGGCAAGGTTCCACTGGCCTGGATTCTCCATTTCGTGCCATTAATATGCTTTATCAACCTGGGCGAATGGGACCTCCGTTCGGAACAACCCAAAGTTCACTGGTCATTCACAAGCAGGCCACAGATACCTGATCCAGGATACCAGAGAGGTTCTCCCATAAGAAAAAGGAAAGAAAAGAAAGACAATAGAATAAACAAGGAAAGGGTTTATAGACTTCAATATCTCAGTGAGTTCTCCCACTTGGAAACGGTTGTTATTATCAGACTCTCACCTTAATGTCAAGGAACACCTGAGATGGATTGTCAATCAGGTACTTCTTAAGCAATGGCCTGAAGTAGCCAGCAGCATCCCCACCTAGTGCAGCAACCTTTGACCGAATGGACTCCAATGCCAAAGTGGCATTCAGGAGCCGAAGAGGATCCAGATCTGCTTTCCACGATCCCTGATTTGGGGACAGTCCAACCCAAAAATATATACAGGAGTCCATGTTTGCTGAAGTCAGTGACAACTTTTTTTTTGCAAGAAAGGCTTTTGGCTATTAACAACAAATTTCCATCAACTGATAAACTGAACTGCCCACTGCGATTGATTGAGTGGAAAAGAACTTGAAAGAAGATGACTTCTTTTTTTTCTTTTTTTTTTCAACGTTAGGCACAACCCTTCAGTCCTGAGACAGTAGAGCGTGCTCAGGATTGATACATTGCGTGTTTGACAGCTCCTTTCTATAGGTGGGGAGCAGCACCTGCTGGAAACTGGGTCCAGCGTTCGTACAAAGGGGTGATTTTTGCTTTGGATGGATGCCTGAGTGGTTGTATTAATCAGTCCTGAAAACTGACATATTAGTTACAAAATATTGGAGGATGGATCCCCTCTATATCCGTTTATGAATAATAATTTATGGCTAATCAATTCAACATTTAAGTCTTAAACCTTACAAGTCAAAAGGCATGCTGTGCAGTGGCGGGTTCACCAGATTGGAACAGACGATGTGGGGAAGAACACAAGGGGAGGAAGGGGAACCCCCAGTGGTGGGGGCAGAGCCAGAGCATACAGCCTGGGACACACAACAATATCATGAAGATGGTGTCTCTGCCCTTAGTTTTGGCATATAGATTATGGACATGCGTACAGAGAGAGCACACACATCATCTCTCTCTCTCTCTCTCTCTCTCTCTCTCTCTCTCTCTCTCTCTCTCTCTCTCTCTCTCTCTCTCTCTCTCTC